CATACGCATTAATGTAGTAGATGTCCAGGTGTAGCTATTATATCCCAGCAACATTGGTATTTTATCATTGTAAGATATCAAAATGAAGCGTTTTTTCAGATATAATTTTTCGTAAATTTTTCAAAAATAAGATGGTAAAAAAGCCTCGACTTGCTCGAAAAATAACAATTTTTTTACTTGTAAAAATAACCCTTTTACAGCATGGGCAGCTATTCAATCACTATTTCTTTTTCTAAAAGTATATTTTTCAAAAAAATTAAGATCAAATTCGACAATTTCTTGATGAAAGCAAAAATATTACACATACTTCTAGATGCATGGGATAAAATATGCAATTATTCAATCAATTCGCATGATTTGAAAAAAAAATCTAAATTTGATAAAAATGTAGAAATTTTTTATTTTTAACTTGAGATTCGATTTTTTTGATCCAATTTGTGAATTTTTTTTGATCGGAATTTCAATTAATTTGAGTAGTAGATATGACGGGTTTAGTGACTTTTTTGTAAACGTAAGAATCATACATTTTTGAATAACTGAAGGTGTCACTACAGTTAGTATGGCTATCTTGGGTACGGCGGCACTGCGTTCCACCTTACCCAACTTAACCTTAAATATTTACAAAACCATCTGACACATAAATGACTTCACTAATGACTTCGCTAACGACTTCACTAATGAAAAAATAAACGTTCTCACTAACGTTCCCACTAATGTTCTCATTTACAAAAGTATTGCAGCGCTTCCCATTGCTGTGCTTCACATAACAGCTCATAATCTTCTGACTCACTTTCTTCTTCATATAGGTCAAAATCACTGTCATAGTTTATACCTGTAAGTTTTGACAAAGCTAATGAAACACGTTTACCATTTGTATCTATTGCTTTTATATATCTCCCATTATGTTTGTTGTCATAAACGCTCAAACTAACTTTACCCTTTCTCCCTCGTATCTGATAGAATGTATTTTCACGAGGAACGAAGAACAAATTCTTGAACTCATGACCGTTGTAGTTTGTTATCTCAATAGTTTTCGTCATTTATATAAAAATAAACTTAAAAATTAATGATATCACCACTCCCACACGTATGAAAACATAGCACAAAAATAAATTTAGGTGAAGTGGTGAGATCTCACCTCTTTTTTCACCCACTTGAATTCATTGCTTTATAACTCTCTTCCTTTATCCAACTCTTCTAACTTCTTCTTAAGTTCAGCAATGTTGTCCTCATGAAGTTTAATCTTTCTCAAAATTCCTTCTCTATCTAATGGTTGCTTTATCTTTCTAAACTGAACTCTACCATCCTTCATAGTATGAATGTAAAAACCTTCTGGAATAGTTCCTGATTTAATGTATTCTACCAAAAACTTTTGTTTCATTGCTTCAGTGACTTTATTTGTCATTTTACTCTAAGGTGAAGCTAGCACAGCGATAATGGATTTCATGACTTTTAGTATTTCATGCAATCTTAACAGATAGCCTTACAAGTACTTCCAGTGTCCCTAGCTGTCCCTCCTTTTTATATAACTCCATGACATTTATAATCTCGCGAAACTTAACAGGTAGCATAACAGATTAAAATCAGATGAGGTTTTGAACCAAAATTTCTAAGCAACGTTGTCAAGGATTTTGAGGAACTAGGGACAGAGTGTGGCAAAGTCCGATTTAATTTATCTTCATCTGTTTC